TCCCAACTCAGATTTTCTCTCATGATACTCTGGCTCAGAAACACCATAAAATATCTGCACATTTGATTCCAATTATCTGCATGCACCAAGCAAGCATACCACTCAATTTCTAGTGCTCCTGCTATTCCTCGCTACAAAAAAAATGGCAAATAAAAGAAAATTCACAGCCGAATCAAACATGCAAGGTGTTTAGGAAAAGACCAGAAGTGCACCTTTCTTGCTAAACACTTTTTTCTTCTCTTCACCAAAAAGCTTCATATCTTTCCTGAATAAACTTTAGGATAAATTTAACATTTAGTACCTAAACTATTAGTCTTAGTCTGGTTTAGTACCTAAACTTTCAATTTATTTTCAAACTATACCTAAAGTTCATTTTAGTATCTGCTCAAAATTTAATGTGAAATTTTGAAAAAATATTCAAAATTTAGGTGCTAAAAACGACCAAAATTGATAGTTTATGTATTGAACGCGTTAAGTTTTTAACAGATGTATACATAATGAAACAAAAACTAAATATAATGTATGATTTTGAAAAAATTGAAAGTTTCGGTACTAAAACTAATTCTTTAGGTACCAAATGCATAATTTACCCTAAATTTTGTCTTAATGATCATTGTTTTGTTCCAAAGGCTCATTAAACTAACTCTAAATAAAAACAGTGGACGCATTCTTAAAGATATTCAGCAATGCAAACTTAAATCCTTTACTATTTCCTCATTTGATAATTTATTGGATAACAGATAACATAATCCAGTTGACATCTTACCAACCGATTCAACACCCCTAAAAACAATGTTTCTAACATTGGTCTAAAATTAAAATTAAATTTCACCCTCAAACGCTTTAGATAGACAATAGCATTGTTGAGAACCAATGATAGAAATTTGAGGATCGACTTATGTTATTATATAAAGTGACAAATATAGAAATATTAATTTTTAACACGAGTAGATATATATTAATAATATAAAATTTTGTATAGAGTGGGCACAAAATATATTTTAAGATAGAATAATTGATAAAATAGGTAACAAATCGAAAAATATTTGAATTTTAAAATAGGCAATCAAATACCCTTAGCTAGGTGTGAATCCGTCGCTACTTTTACGTTAGTAACATCCTTAAGATTATAATAAAGGCATAATGCAATAAAATAACTTCAACGTTTGACAGTAGTGTTAAATTTATTCATTTTTTTAATATTTGTGCACTGTACGTTTATTTTTGTGTCAAAAATAACCTACGATGGATGAAAACCGTCAGTCAACTGACGGCCAACGTCGGGTGCTGACGAAGCACGCACGCGTGGAGGGGAAAGTTGACGTGGATGTCCAGGTCATCGAGATCGCTGATTGGTGCGAATTAATAATATAAAAATAATAATTTTTAAAAAATGACGTGGCAATGCCACGCCAGCGATCTCGACGACCTGGATGTCTACGTGAACTTTTCCCTCCACGCGTGCGTGTTTCGTCAACACCTAATGTTGACCGTCAGTTGACTGACGGTTTTCATCCAGCGTGGGTTATTTTTGACACAAAAATAAATGTACAGGACACAAATGTTCCAAAAAAATAATACGGATAAATTTGACACTACTATCAAACGTTAGGTTATTTTGTTGCATTATGCCTATAATTAATAAAACAGGAGGGTTTGAAGGCAAAACAATTTTGGGGAATTAGACTTGTTAAAAACATGTTTAGAAATTATTTAGGGTATTTTGTGAAACACATTTTAAGTTTTGATCGAAACAGGAAATAAAAAGAGAATGAACTGATGAATATTCAGGGTTTAAAGGAACTGATTGTCGAGAAAGAGGAGAGTAGGTAGGAAAAATGTTTTGGGATGAAAATAATGACTAGGGATGTAAAAGGCTGATCTGGACTATAAAATTGATTGAAACCAACGCGAATCAAAATTGTTTGTGACCTGAGCGGTGGTGATCTGAAACCGACTTGAGTGAACTTGTGTTGACATGAACCCGAGTTGGACATGAAAATTATGGATTTGAACCCGATCTGCACCCGAACTGAGAATGACGTGAACCCGATTAAACAGATAATATGATAACCGAACTCGACCTGCATCCGACTGATATAAACTCGAACTCGAGATTAACCTGGTAAATAACTAGTATTACGTGATTTGTTATCAACATGACCTGATACGAACCTAACATGTAATTAACTCAACCAATAACTAATATGACTTATTATTGATCTGATCTGATATTTACCCGACTTGATATTTACTTGACTTATAAGTTACAATTGATGAAGTTGTGAGATTTTGAATTTATAATAAACTATGATAATTAATATGATTATTTTTAAAAGTTAAAACAAATTGTTAGTTATGTTAATTAAATTAATTTCATTAACAATTTATTTATTGAACATGATTTTATTAGATTATATAAAATTAATTTAAATATTTATAAGTTTAATTTATTTTTCATATAATAATTAATTAATAATTTAAATATAATTTTAAAATATCATGTAAGATGAAATTATTTGAGATTAAAACTTTATATATATATATAAAGTGAGTGGTAGGAGAAAACTTTTTAAAAGAAATATTTTTTTATGTGAAAAAAATTTGATTTTATTTGGAAATTTAGAGTGAAATTGTGAAATTTTGAGAAGTTAGGAAATTGGTAATTTAGAGAGAAATTGAGAAATTGAGAAAATGAGAAGGAATAGAGAAATTTGGGAAGTTGGCGCCTAATGTCTAATAAAATATTTTGGGTTAATTAGGCACGTGCTACATTAATTTTTCACTTTGTGAATTGGTTTTGATTTCTTTCATTTTAGTAATGGTTTAATTATAAATTTCTTCTTGAATTTTCAATCCGATGCAATTTAATCTTGTATTCATTCTAATTACTTTAGTTTTCCCTTCTTTCTTTAATGTGCATAATTATTAAATATAAATATTAATTTTAGAATCTTTTATTTTAGTCACTCATGTTTATATATATATATACACACACTTCCATATATACTTATGTCTACTTATGTATATATACATTTATATACATGTGTACATACATCACATATATATATTTACATATACTTATATATATACATAGTTATTTATATATTTTATACTTATATATATACATATAAGTGTATATATATAATATTAATATATATACATATATTATTTTTTTATTTTTTAATAAATTATGACATATATAAATATATATGTATGTATGGATCATACATACATACATACATACATATATATATACATGCATCATACATACATCATACATGCATCATTGATCATACATAATTACATATATACTTATATATATAACGTATACATATATATATATACATAAATGATATATATACATGTATAACATGTATATATATATATATATATATATATATATATATATATATATATATATATATATATATATATATATATATATATATATATATATATATATATATATATATATATATAATTAATTATATATATGTACATGTATTATATATATAACATTCATCATATATATATATATATATATATATATATTAGAATTATTTCAATTTTTCTTCAACTTTTGAAATGAATGTAATTCAGTCTATTTTACAATTTCTTTTTCATATTTTATAATTGTTTTGATTTGATACCTCTATTTTGTTTAATTATTTAAATTTTAATTTGTAATTTCATATTTGTTCAATTTAGTTCTTAAAATTATATTTGTATCTAAATTTGGCCTATAGTTATTTATATTTTGTAATTTACTTTGTACCCTATAAATCACATAATAAACTTCCTTTCAAATTTTATAAATTATATTATAATCTCCAAACCCTAAACTTTTGTTCACCAACTTAATAAATGGATACAATTTAGTCCAATTTTATATTAATTTCAATTTACATTTTAAAATTATTTCAATTTGATCCCTCATCAATGTGTGTTGTTTACTTTATTTTAATTTCTGTTTGTAATTTCAAGTTCGTTCAATTTAGTCCCTTCAAATTATATTTTTATCAAAATTGATCCATAATTATTTATATTTTTTGTAATTTACTCTAAATCATATACAATTACAAATTGCAATTCAACATTCATGAAAGGCAAAAAATAATTAATCTAAAAATAAAAAATGACCGGACTTGAAGTCAATCTATATCTGGTAAGATCCGACCTGAGTTTCGCTTGTCAATGATGTGACCTGATCGAAACGAGATCCGACTGAAGTCCAATCAAACTTAAATTAACCTAGTATTTAACTGTTTCGGACCTGAACCAATTTTATTTGAACTGACATCGATCCGAACTGAAATTAACTTGACTTGAACCTAAACTGAACCTGATGTCAAATAAACCTAAAAATGACCTGGACTCGACCTAATCCAAGTCGAACAATCAAATTGACTGACATGACATGTATTCGATTTTACTTGACACGAAAAAAATTGACTGAAATGTAAACAATTATCTGATTTTACATCCATAATAATTACCAATGTTATATGGTATTTATAGTACCATACAAGCTTTAAAATAGTAAAATAATTTTTCAATTTGATTGTAAGAATCGAAAATTAAGATGCTTTTCAAGACATTTTGGCAAGGCTTCTCAGATCAATTAAAAATGAACAAAATAGTGGTTACAAAAATAAAATGAATATTTTTTTAAATAATATGAGATGATTATAGGTTAATATGATTATAAAATAATACTACACGATGGGTTTAAATGCTCCATTCATAATCGTCAATGTCATCGTTCATCATTATAATGCTATTTGTAACTTGTGATAAATGGTAATTAAATTCGTATTGAATAATTATGGACGAAAACTTCACTCCAGTATTAATAAGTTTGAGAAGATTATTAGGTTTTGGTCTTTTAACTTGCAAGGAATTAATGCAAGCACATGGAACAAGAATTATATGCCCATTGTAAAAACCATACAACACTTACCACAAACTCATCATCTCAAACATGTACCCTCTAAATATGATGAATATGGATAAAATATTATTCTCATGCACCAATATTCTCATACCATTTTAGGACAGCCATGGAAATGGTCAGCAAATCATAAAAAAAAAGGGGAAAATTCAAAAAGATCAAATGCCGGCAAGAAGGTTCTCAACAACGAAAAACCTTAAAAACACACACTGGAGTGGAGTGGAGAGGAGACCAATGAAGTGGAATAGCTTAGTTAAATTCAGGCTTTTCTGGGTATGTGCAACCAGACCTTTGGATGATAACATTGGATGCATAGCAGCCAGCTTTTACGCAAACGTCAATGGGTTTCTCTTGAATCAATTGTGAAAGAAAGCCTCCAACGAATGCATCACCTACACAAAATTGCATTAAACTCCATTATGCTGTTGTGATTTACTTTTTGACTCACCAAATATTGCCAAATAGTGTCAATTTCATCCACGCTTCCTTTTTCAGGTTATGTTTCGAATTAGTAAGGTCATTTGGGATTTAAAAATTGTCAAGTACTGGTAGTGAAAGGGAAAGGGAAAGGTTGTATACCTGCACCATTTGTATCAACCAATTTTTCCTTGGGTAACACTATAACGGGGAACTGCTTCACTTTCCCATCCTCAGCAACGACTACCGGATCTGCACCCTGGGTAATGACAGTAATCCTCTTGTATGTTCCAGATGCTTTCGGCCACTGTGAAATCTTCAGAGCTATCTCAGCAACATCGTCAGTCTGGAAGGCACAACCAGCTCAAACAGGTCAATACCAAACATGATCCACTTCAAATCCATAATAGCATCTTATATTTAGCGGCTTATTACCTCCCAGCCATGAACCTTTGAGAAGGTTCTCGCTTCTGTTTCATTGCCAAAGACAAAGTCCACATACCTGATAGACAATAAATCCAGAGAGTTACTTTCAGGACACGAATATTAATTTCCACAGAAGGAAAACATCAAAAATCTTACGGTAGAGCTTTCTCCTGTGCGTCCTTGAAGAACTCGCAAATAAATGGAGCAGAAAGATTCATCGCAAAAACCTACATTCAAAATAAATAAGTCAGATCACCAAGCCGATGAACTTTCATAAAGAAGGATAAGGATCTCAGCCGGGCGTCATATAATATACCTTGTTCTTTGCAGCTGCATGTTCAGCAACAAGCTGTATTGAGTCTGGTGACACAGTAAGAAAAAATCCAGCAATATAGAAGTATTTGGCCTTCTCAACTGCACAAAAATATTTACGAACAAGTTAGTCCCTAGAAGTGACGGCTTTTTATTTCAGTTATTCTTAATGGGTATTCTCCAACGAGCAAGTTTAATCAATTTATAGTCCAACCAAAACAAGAAAATAAAAGATAATGAGTACCCAACGCCCAGTTCTCTGGCTTCTGCAAATGACCAGACTTGTAGCAGTTAGCAGCTGATAGATTTGCAATGAGTGACCTACATATAGATCCAAGTTTAAATCTTGCTATTCCAGCATATAAAACAGATGATTTGCAACATCACACTAATCCGAGCAAACGTAAGGACTACAATGAAAATGGCAGCACATAATAAACAAGGATATTATCAAACGTGTACCTTTCACCACCCACAACACAAACAGCACAAGTTCCTGTTGGTGTAGATTCATCCTCAAGATAGTGAACCTGATTACACAAAAACAACACTACTTATTCTCATTTCCAAATCTATCTTAAGAAAAGCAAAGTCAGAAGTCAAAATAAATATGCACCAGAAACAGGAAAGTAATTGGACACAGCAAAGGAGAAGCATAATCTATTATGCTTGAAGTTGTCCGGAACTGATATAATATATGCATAACACTTTCCCACTTTTCTTTTCAATTTTTAGAGGTTCCTCAAAATGGTTTAGAAAGGAGAAAGGCTCACATTAACACCAGCAGCTTTTGAATTCTTCTTCATTTCCTCCCCAAACTTGTCCTTCCCAATGCAACCAATGTAACCAGTTGCGCCAGGAATTTGAAGCATCCACTGCATAAGATACAACAAGTTTAGTCTACGTTGACAATAATGTTATGACTGTTATTTCCAAAAGCTCCAACCACCTATAAGAAGCATCACGATATACCTGTGCAACTTTGATTGAATTTTGAGTAGCACCTGCACAAATAAAAAAATTGAGGAAATCATTATCGGCCACTATGTTCTGATAGAAAATTCATACTCAAGAACAATTCATGCATTACCTCCAGCAATATACTCGACATTGGGATTGACAGCCATTTCTTCATACCTGTCACATAGAGATTAAAACGGTGAGTGCAGCACTTGGAAACATGAACGATTAACTAATCTGTAGTCAAAAGGTGCAACCATATAATGTTGACAACTACATCATACTTAAAAACCAACTTCTCAGCCAACAGATCGCATCATTTTGAAACAATTAGGTCAAGCACTAAAAGCTGTATCCTTCAGAAGAGCCATGAAAGAGATGACCTCTACTTAAGAGAACTGGTTCAAGATCTACATGAGAAAAGTCATCTTCTCCCTAAAGGTTGGGTTTTCAGCATGTACAACCCAACCACCATTCAAAACTTTTGGTCAAAGGTACAAATTCATTCTATATTGAAGGTGTTCAACTGTTTAAGTCTTACCAAGTTACTACTAAACTACAATGGAACACAAACAATTTTTTCATGTAGATCAACCATCAAATAGTCTATATGCATGATAACTAGCTAAACAAGTAAACCAACAATTAGAGAAGACAAAAAGATTGACAGAACATATAAATTGAAGGATGGGAGTGAATAAAACTTAGATCTAGCCCATGTATACACGCACGCATGCCAGGTGAAGCAAGAGTCTAATAGGGGAAAAACTATCATAAATAACATCCATAGTTAAAATTAATATGGATTTATACTAATTTTTTAGTCTTTTTTGCTTACATGGGAAGGTGCTTCTCCTCAGCTAAAATTGCATTGTTCAACTTGATGTCATATCTGAAACCAGAAAACAAAACAAACTCAGATCAGAGTCCACATAAGGAACCAAACCCAATTTCCAAAAACAACAAAAAACCAAATCTCATAAAGCTGAAGCAATTAAAAAACAAAATTTGAAAATCGTACTTTTTCAAGAACTCCTCGTCCACGACAGCCGAAATATCAAGGAGAGGATTACCCATCCCCAGGAGAATCCCTTCATACGCCATTTTCTCGAGGGGCTGTTGGCGGCTGTTTGGTGAACGAGAAAAAAGGAAGAGAAACGAAGCTAAGAGTGAGAGAGTAATAGCTGATATTCAGATCTCGGTTGTGGCGAAAATGGTTCGCATTATTCGATGTTTATAGGCCCCCCACGCGCCCCCATCTTACCAACCCAGTAAGCTCCAACAACCACTCTTTAATAAAATAATAATATAAAAATTATAAATAAAATCTGCCTTAGATTTTTCTCATCTGTGGTAGGTGATTATTGAAACACTGTTTAAATTCAATCAAACCAAAATTTTCTCTATCATCCATGTTTATTCATTTATTAATATTTAAACCTGCACTTTGATTATATTAAGTAAACACTATGTAGTTGAATTTATTGACGAAACAAAACTAAAAGAATCGAATTTTAAAATTTTAATCCCTCAAAAGAAAATGAAAGAGATGGTGTATACATGTGTTCTCATTTGGTCTCCTCTTTAGATCAAATATAATATGCAAATTTTGAATGAAAATTTAAGCTTAGTTGTTGACCATCCAATTACATGTTCATATGTAAATCCGTTAAAAGAACTTCTATGAAGGCAACGTTGATGAGATACCTTTTGATTTTAAGAGTTTGAGGTGATTATAAGATAATATATTTTAAAATTATTCTTAATCTATGGTGTATACATGTGTTCTCATTTGGTCTCCTCTTTAGATCAAATATAATATGCAAATTTTGAATGAAAATTTAAGCTTAGTTGTTGACCATCCAATTACATGTTCATATGTAAATCCGTTAAAAGAACTTCTATGAAGGCAACGTTGACAATGTATCTTTTGATTTTAAGAGTTTGAAGTGATTATAAGATAATATATTTTAAAATTATTCTTAATCTATTAATAAGAGACACTTTATAGATGTAACCTTTCAAACTCAAATCCTCTAAGAAGAACAACATTCTACTTTTACTACTAAGACTACAACATAACTTCTCCCTAACTTTGCTTTGGGTGACAAATAATTCCATATATGACAATAGTTGCAACCCAGTCGTAGGAAGATGTGTAAAAGAGGGAATGTATATTACTCGAAATCGAGAAATAAAAAGTTCAAGATATAATCCGTTCGGTTTATATCGTCATTCCAACAGATTCGAGTTCAATACTACTAAATGGCCATAGGCCAAAATATAAGTAACAAGTTGATTAAACTATGTTTAATGAGTTTTTAAATAATGCCATATGTTAAGCATGGCTGAAGATAACGAGCTAAGAAGATGAACTCCATAGCCCATCAACGCGGATGTGATTTTATTCCTCTTAATCAGAGAGGAAAACATAAAGAACAAATTGCAAAGAAATCCAATGCAAAACTAGAAATGCTTCAAAGAAACAAACTTTAAAGGTGATCGCAAATGGCCTTCGTAAAATCGGTTGTCGTTGATGTGCCGCCAAGATCAGCAGTTCTGTATTTACCCTCTGCGATTGTGTTGAGAATGGCATCCTGAATCCTATTAGCCTTGTCATGGAGGTTCAAGTGGCGCAACATTGAGACGGAACTCAATAGTAAAGCAGTTGGATTTGCCATATTCTAACGACATCAACAATACAATTAATTAGCCGGTGCCATGGGAAAGAAATTGTACAATGAAAAAAGAAAGGACATTGGCAAGCAAACATATAATACTTTGGGGTTCTTTCTCTCTTTTTTCCCCATAATCTATAAGTTCTAATAATCAAGCATGCCATGAAGCTTAACCCATTCTCAAAAATCACCAAGGATATCCAAGATTTATACCATAGATGGCTTACAATTAGCATAAACGTGCATACAGTTACATGTTCATCGACCTTGACATACGTTAACGATATCTCAAGAAATCCAGCTCAACTATTAAGATTTTCTTTGTACCCACTAAAGCATTACGGGAGTAAAAATCTCTAAACGTACCAGCATACATTATTTTCACAACTGCACAATGTGTATGCAAAATGACACTCAATTATAAGTTCTAGGATAGATTTGAAGACCAACCTTTCCCGCGATATCAGGTGCTGAACCATGAACAGCTTCAGCAAGTGCTATTCCCCCCTCACCAATATTGCAACTGCACAAAGAGTATATGTTGTAAAACCATCGAGATGTATATGTCCTACGATCATTAGGTAGAGGTAGTTACCTTGGTGTTAAGCCCAAGCCCCCAATCAATCCAGCACAAAGGTCACTAATAATGTCACCATAAAGGTTAGGCATCACCAATACATCAAAGAGTGCAGGATTCTTCACAAGCTACAAATGGCAGGGGAAAAAGTGAACATACTTAGAAAGAAGGTTGTTGTCATTCACCAAGTAATTTACAACCTTTATAGAGAGAACTAAGTACACATAAGTAATCCTAAACATAGTAAAATTCCTATGAATCAGTGAAAATTAGTTCCTACTTTACAAGGCTACTCCTAGGACTAAGGTAAGAAATATGTCCTTAATCTTAGGGATTCCAACACTCCCCCTCAAGCTGGAGTGTAGATATTTATCAAACCCAGCTTGCCAATAAGTTCGCAAACATGTTTCTACTCAAGCTTTTGGTTAACAACTCTGCAATTTGTTGTCTAGTAGGTAGGTGATGGACACTTCTCCAGAGTTTTCTCTTTGATAAATTGGCGGTCTATTTCCACATGTTTGGTGTGATCATGGTGTACAGGATTATGAGCTATGCTGACAGCTGCTTGGTTGTCACAATACATCTTTATAAGTCTTGTGTAGGGCACATTTAGTTCTCCCATTAGTCTTTGTACCTAGATTCCTTCGCATATACCATGGGATAGTGCTCGATACTCTGCTTCTGCACTGTGTGTGCTACAACAAACTGTTTTTTGCTTCTCCATGTCACAAGGTTACCCTAAACATAGCTACAGTAACCTCTTGTAGAACGTTTATCATTAACAGACCCTGCCCAATCTGCATCAGTGTATACTTCCACATTTCAATTAGTAGTTTTCTTGGAATGCATGTCTTTACCAGGAGTCCCTTTTAGATACCTTAATATCCTGTACGCAGCTTCCAGGTGCTTCTCCCTTAGAGCATGCATGTATTGACTAATAACACTCACACCAAAGGCTATATCTAGACAGATGTGAGATAGGTACATAAGTCTCCCTACTAGTCGTTGATATCTCCCTCTGTTAACTTCTTTTCCATCATTATCAGTTCCCAATTTAAGATTAAATTCCATGGGAGTTTCGGTTGGTTTGCAGCACCGACTTCAGATAGTAGATCAAGAATATACTTTCCATGACTTCTACCTCAAGAATTCCAAGGAAGTATTTAAGATTCCCCAAGTCCTTAAGTTCGAATTCTGCACTAAGGAACTCTTTTAGCTTTTCAATTTCGCTTGAATCATCTCCTGCTAATAGCATATCATCCACATAATTAGGATGTAGCATTTTCCACTTTCCAAGTGTATATAAAACATGGTGTGGTCGACTTGTCGTTGAACATAACTTCTACTGAGGAATGCATTTTTTTTACATCCAATTGAGTCAATGGCCAGTCCAAGTTGACCGCTAGGGATAGAAGAACTCGAACGGAGTTTAACTTGGCAACCAGTGCAAACGTCACATCGTAGTCAAGGTCATAGGTTTGTGTGAAGCCCTTAGCCACAAGCCGAGCCTTGTGTCGATCAATACTACCATCAGATTTAAATTTTGTAGTGAAGATCCATTTGCACCCCACTGTCTTCTTCCCACTAGGTAGATCCGAGACTTCCCAAGTTTCATTGCTTTTTAGTGCATTCATTTCTTCCATCACAGCTTGCCTACACTCATTTTATTCAAGAGTTTTTTCTATAATTTTTTGGAGTTTCTATAAAATCAACATTAGACATAAAAATTTTGTAAGACTTAGACAAGTTTCCATAGGACACAAACCGAGAAATAGGGTGTTGAGTGTAGCTCCTTGTGCCCTTTTGAATTGCAATTGGAAGATAGATGGATGGAGATGGAGGAGAGACTTCTATTTCAGAACATTCCTCGGTTGGGGATGAAATTGGCACTGTTGTATTAGTTTCAGGAGGATGCCCCCGCCGAGAGTAAACCCGAACTTCTGGACGAATTTCTGGAGCCTGTTCTTGCTGTCTTCCTAGATTAGGTGGTTGCTGCTCCTTAGTGGTGTGATCAACCGTGTTAATTCCCACCTGCACAGGGGAAATAGTGTCTAAATCTGAGATTACAATGGCACCCTGGTTATTAGGTTTGTTTGTGGTAGTAGTGGTAGGATCAGGTGGTATAATGAGAAGGGTATTAAGGGACTTATCTTCATTGAGTGTCTCCCCCTTAAGATGAGATCCTGCAAAATATGATTCATTCTCAAAAAATGTGACGTCCTGAGAGACAAACATTCGGTGTAAGGTTGGTGAATAATGCTTATAGCCTTTTTGTGTGGGGGAATAGCCAATGAAGACGCAAGTGTGTGCTCGAGGGTCAAGTTTGGATTGATTGGGTTGAAGATTATGGACAAAGGCTTTGTAACCGAATATTTTTTGTGGTAGATTGGGAACACGAAATAAGGGAAAAGCCTTTTGGAGGGTATTTAGAGGTGTTTAGAGATTTAGAACTTTTGATGGTAGTCGATTTATGAGATAGCAGGCAGTAAGGACAGCCTCTCCCCACAAATATTTTGGTACACCCATGGTGAACATGAGGGCTAGAGCTACAGCAAGTAGATGTCGGTTTTTTATCTCTCGGAGATCCCGTTTTGTTAAAGGGTGTCAGGACAAGAGCTTTGGTGAATGATTCCTTGGTCAAAGAGATAAAGACTTAGGACAGAGTTAAAATATTCTCTCCCATTGTCAGTGCAGAGAGTATATATGGTAGAATGATATTGGGTTCAAACCATTGAGTGAAAGCTTTGGAATATTTTGGATGTTTCAGATTTTTCTTTGAGAAGGTAGACCCAACAGACCCTATTGTGGTCATCAATGAAAGTTATAAACCACCTAACCCCGTAACATTCTTCACTCGGCTGGCTCCCCATAGGTCACTGTGGATTAATGAAGAAGGTTAGGACTGGATATATGGTTTTAATGGGCATGG